CCCTCCCTCCCTCCATGAACCTTTGATTATAAATTCTCTCCCACCCTGCCTCATGAACCCTTGATTCTAATTTTTTTTCTTGTACATTTACCGATGTCTCCCTTCATTGTGATCGGTTCCCCCTTTAAATGCTGTTCCTAAAGGAATTCCAGAACAGGTCTGCCGTGGCAGGGATTTCCCAGCACTTCCTCACAGTTTTCCATCCAGGTGAGTCCCAGTTCAAGCAACAGAACTGCACAGGTCCATTCAGCAATAGAAGGACAACCGTCCAGGCTTCAGACAACAAAGAAAACCGACTGTCACCAGAAAGCTGCACAATCTATATAATTGCAGGAAGTTGACATATATATACATATATATGTATATACATATATATATGAAACCTCGCTGCCATTGGCTCATAGTGACCCCCTGTGGGTTTCCAGGAATGTAAATGTTTACCGTCAACCATGTAGCTTGCAGCCCCACACATCGCCGCCATGTCACTGGGGATCCTGGAAGTAAGACCCAGCCCAACCTCACTCACGGCCACGGAATGGAGTCCAACTCGGAGCGACCTTCTGTAGGGCTTCGGAGGCTTTGTGAATCTTTTTTTGGCGTTGAAGGAATTAATTTTATTTTCTGTTCCATAAACTATAATGCTTTCATTATCCCAGCTGAGTAATTCATTAATTCATCTTTCCTTCCAAGCTCTTTAAGCTTATAAGAGAATTTGGGGGGGTGTTGTTTGTTTGTTTAAATGCTTTTATTGGGGGCTTTTACATCTCATCACAATCCCTACATTCATCGGCTTTGCGAATCATTCCAGGAGCTGACAGCCTCCTCTTTCTCGTATGGAGTGCCTGGTGGGCTTGAACTGCTGACCTTGTGGCTAACAGCCCAAAGCTGTCCTGACAGCACCACCAGGGCTCCAGAAGCAAGTAAAGAAGACTTTAAGAGGGACGTTCACCCAGGAGTCCCCAGTGGCTAAAGAAAGATTTCTTCCGCTCTGCCTATGAACAGGCGGAAGCCCCTCGGCAGCAAAGCCAGAGTGTTCTCTGGGGATTTGATGAACACAATTTGATGCTTTCAGGGCTCATTAAATGAGGATTAATAGTAAGAAGAAGCTTACTACAAATTACAGTATCCATTTTAGGAGCTCTAGGCATGTTATACCATTCTATAAATTGTTAGGTAACCTAATAAAGCAAAAATATTTATTGTGACGATAGAAAGCACTTGTAGATCATATTACTGCAGGATTGTGTTACTATCA